AATCTGGTTCCATCCCTTTGTCAAGTTGTAGATGCAGCTTTTCTCCATATTCCATTTCTTCAAACACATCTTGTACTCTTTCAAAGATGGATCCAACACAGTCACTGGCAACCCAACAAGCCTTCCATTTTCTTTGATACATTCATCCAATGACGATTCCTCAGTTTCTGAAAGAAATTTGTTGGCAATCTTTGAGGGTGGAATGGACAAGCGAGCATGCTTTGGGTCCAAATCTGTACTAAAAAGCGTCTTTTCGATCACAAACTTTATCTCAGATCCATTGAGTTCTTTAATCTTCTCCTGAAATTCTCTTGGCAGCAAATGACCTTCTTCCTCACTGTTTCTCAAGTCATGCCTATTATCAGGTAAATTTCGTTCCTCTTCGTATGCACTGAATAAGGACACTGCCTCTAACAAATATTCTAACTTTGATTTATCCTTACTGCATCCTACTTTAGTCTTCATTCTCTTTGATGCTTTATCATTACTTTCTACTTCTTTCCCTTTCCTTTTGAGACTCCTTTCACTCATTTCCATGGAAAACTCATGCTTGTCTTCTCTGCCAAGAAAGTCACTGAACACAGTCTTCATCGTTTTTCCATTACTAACTTTCTTCTTTTCGGTTCCTCTCAGAATTTTCTCTTCCATTGTTTTACGTTTCATTCTACACTCTTCACTCTTGTAGATTAGAATATAATATAAAATAAAGATAAAACATTTATATTTAATAGTATATTCGTAAATACCTTGGTTTAATAATTAAGGTAATATGATACGATCAATATATTTTTAGTTAGTATATGTATTATGTTATATTGTTTAAATTTAATATAATTTTAGTTAATATATGTATTATATTATTTTTACATTCATTTAAAACACAAGAGTAAAATGGTCATAAAATAAGAGTAATGATTATTTTGAGTAATGGTTATACAAGGGTAAAATGGTCTTAAAAATATAAAGTTTTGTATTTTTTTCAAGAAAGAAGATAGTAAAAAGTAAACAAGGATAATGTCAAATAAATGTAAAATATTTAAATGTGTCAAAAATTATTTTCCATAAAAGAATATTATTTTATATTTTTTCAAGAAAGAAAGAGTAAAAAGTAAGAAAAAATAATGTCAAATAAATGTAAAAAATTTATGTGTGTCAAAAGAATAAATTTTTACATTTTTTTCAAAAAAAGAAGAAAGTAAAAAATAAGAAAAGATAGTGTTAATTAAGATTTATGTAAGTCATAATATATTTTTCTTATACTTTTATCTTGTGAATTTAATTGATATCATTCTATTCAAATATATTTTTAATTCATAAGATATTGTGTAGATTTAGTATTTTCTCGATTGTGTGAGAATTTAATTGATGTATGTTAATTGAAATATATTTTTACGTTATATGATATTGTATAGATTTTGTGCATTCTTGATTATGTGATAGTGTTTAATTTAGTAATAAAGGTAATTATAAGAGAACTATATTCCAATGTTGTCTAAAAGAAAAGATAAATTGCGAATAATATTTCATGTTATCTTATTGTTTTTCA